CGGGTTGGGGTGTAGGGTTTGAGCATAACCTGAAGGTAGAGAGGGGCAGCTCCTCTTTCTGCTCCGTAGACAAGTACCATGGTCTTGTAGTGGATGCGAGCTTCGACTGGAAGCCAGTGGAGTGTGCGCAGGAGCAGGGTGACATGGGAAGACTTGGGAAAATGGAACACCAGGTGGGCTGCATTGTTCTGGATAAATTGTAGGAGTTTGATGGCACAAACGGGGAGCCCAGTCAACAGTGATTTGCAGCAGTCCAGATGGGAGATGACAAGTGCCTGCATTATCCTGTAACTTTTCTTTAGCAAAGAAAAAAGGCTAACCATGGCCAGGTTCTCAGCCATGGTCCAGGTTCTCTCTGTCTCACTCTCCATTTTCGACAGCTCCCTCAGCATCTTACAGCCTGCTAGAGCACTGAGAACAAACTCCCCTGCCTGGGAGAGAGAGAGGGGAAGGGGGGGAGAGAGAGAGATAAATAATTTTGCCTTTTGAAACGCATCTGTGCATTTGTAGATGTGCTGTAAAGTACACCACAAGGAACCTGAAGGCCCCCACCCTCTCCAAGTTTCTCCCGTACAGAGTGTTTTACAGTTAACCAGCTAAAAAAACCAAAGTGCAAGCAATGCAGATGCAGAAGCACAGTGGCTAAGAAAAACTCCCCAGAAGGCAGGAACCTAGGATTTTTTTAAAGAGGAACTAGGCTCCAAGGGTTGGCCAGTCCTCTTCTGGCTGTGCCAGGTGAATATTTTAAGAGTACATGTGGCCATTAAGGCGAGATTGTTATTCAAGACTTTCAAACGTTCATAAATGGTGCAACAGTTCAACACCTCAGTCAATGACAGTTGGCTTTTCATAGCCAGGCCAGGTATTCCTGAGGTATGGTCCTAGGGCTCAGGGCCCAGGTCCTACAGGAGGGGAGACATAGGGTGCGTTCGTAAATTCGCTCTGGCTATCTACTCCAATTTCAGAGCACTCTCGCCTGAGTGTGCAAAAGCGCAGAATAACTGATTAATTTACCAACGCTCAGCACCTATTGAATATGGCCAGTGTCAGTAAACGTAGGCAAAAACGCGTAATTAAATAGTTGCCAGCAGCACAGTTATAGTCACCAACGCTCTGGATAACATGAAAAAACCTAACCAGCTCTGCTAGGTCGAATAAAATGGTCAGAGTGAGGTGTTCTCTCATTTGTGTCTGGAAGTAGCTAGCAAGCTAGCCAACGTTAGCCAGTTAGCTTGGGGGCTTGACTGCCGTTGTGAGGTCAGAACCCTCGGATCAACCCTACTCCTCAGCGTCCAGTGTGCGCTCTGAATGCTCCAAGAGAGAAACACTCTGAATTTACAAATGGACAATCTGACAATGTTCTGAATTTACGAATGCCCAGAGCGCACTCTGAGCGCTCTCTGGCACTCCAGATTGAATTTACGAACACACCCATAGAGAGCGAGATAGAGGAGAATTAGAGAGAGCATGCATAGTTACTTTTTTTAAATTATACAGTGAATTGATATTTGTTTAATGATTTAAATAATATATTGTTTGTATTTTCAATAAATGTATGTTTAAGTAACTTTAAACTATATATTTATGTCATTTTTAATGCTTTGAACACACCGACTGCATCATTGTGCAAAATAGTATGCAGCATCATCTAGATATGTGTGCAACAAAAGTTCAACATTCACCTTCTGCTACCATTTGCATCATTGCGTTTTGGTACACCAGAAGTACATTCATTTCCAATGGAACGCTGTGTTTGCCATGCAACATTGCGTTGCAGAGGCAGTTGCAGTGCGTTCTGTTTGGTGCATATGTTGGATTTATCGAACGTATGCGTCAAACTGTATGTGTAAACGGGATGACAGAAATGGTAGCAGAAGGTGAATGTTGAACTTTTGTTGCACACATATCTAGATGATGATGCATACTATTTATCGCAATGACGCAGTCGGTGTGTTCAAAGCCTATGTGTGCAACAAAAGTTCAACATTCACCCTCTGCTACCATTTCTGTCAACCCGTTTACACATACAGTTTGACAAACATGTTCGAAAAATCCAACATATGCACAATCCACACCTCTGCAACGCAATGCTGCAAGGCAAACGCAGCGTTCCATTGGAAATGAATGTACTTCTGGTGTACCAAAACGCAAAAACACAGTCGGTGTGTTCGAAGCGTAAGGCTTTGAACACACCAACTGCATCATTGTGCAAAATAGTATGTAGGATCATCTAGATACAGTTGAAGTCGGAAGTTTACATACACTTAGGTTGGAGTCATTAAAACTGTTTTTTCAACCAAATTTCCAACAATTGTTTACAGACAGATTATTTCACTTATAATTCACTGTATCACAATTCCAGTGGGCCAGAAGTTTACATACACTAAGTTGACTGTGCCTTTAAACAGCTTGGAAAATTCCAGAAAATGATGTCATGGCTTTAGAAGCTTCTGATAGGCTAATTGACATCATTTGAGTCAATTGGAGGTGTACCTGTGGATGTATTTCAAGGCCTACCTTCAAACTCAGTGCCTCTTTGCCTGACATCATGGGAAAATCAAAATAAATCAGCCAAGACCTCAGAAAAACAATTGTAGACCTCCACAAGTTTGGTTCATACTTGGGAGCAATTTCCAAACGCCTGAAGGTACCACATTCATCTGTACAAACAATAATACGCAAGTATAAACACCATGGGACCACGCAGACGTCATACCGCTCAGGAAGGAGACGCGTTCTGTCTCCTAGAGATTAACGTACTTTCGTGCAAAAAGTGCAAATCAATCCCAGAACAACAGCAAAGGACCTTGTGAAGATGCTGGAGGAAAAAGGTACATAAGTATCTATATCCACAGTAAAGCGAGTCCTATATCGACATAACCTGAAAGGCCGCTCAGCAAGGAAAAAGCCACTGCTCCAAAACCGCCATAAAAAAGCCAGACTACGGTTTGCAACTGCACATGGGGACAAAGATCATACTTTTTGGAGAATTGTCCTCTGGTCTGATGAACAAAAATAGAACTGTTTGGCCATAATGACCATCGTTATGTTTGGAGGAAAAAGGGGGGTGCTTGCAAGCCGAAGAACAGCATCCTAACCGTGAAGCACGGGGGTGGCAGCATCATGCTGTGGGGGTGCTTTGCTGCAGGAGGGACTAGTGCACTTCACAAAATAGATGTCATTATGAGAAAGGAAAATTATGTGGATATATTGAAGCAACATCTCAAGACATCAGAAAGGAAATTAAAGCTTGGTCGCAAATGGGTCTTCCAAATGGACAATGACCCCAAGCATACTTCCAAAGTTGTGGCAAAATGGCTTAAGGACAACAAAGTCAAGGTATTGGAGTGGCCATCACAAAGCCCTGACCTCAATCCTATAGAAAATGTGTGGGCAGAACTGAAAAAGTGTGTGCGAGCAAGGAGGCCAACAAACCTGACTCAGTTACACCAGCTCTGTCAGGAGGAATGGGCCAACATTCACCCAAACTTATTGTGGGAAGCTTGTGGAAGGCTACCTGAAGCGCTTGACCCAAGTTAAACAATTTAAAAGCAATGCTACCAAATACTTGTGGTCCTCTGTAGCTCAGCTGGTAGAGCATGACGCTTGTAAGGCCAGGGTAGTGGGTTCGATCCCCGGGACCACCCATACACAAAAATGTATGCACGCGTGACTGTAAGTTGCTTTGGATAAAAGTGTCTGCTAAATGGCATATTATTTATTTACTAATTTAGTGTATGTAAACTTCTGACCCACTCGGAATGTGATAAAAGAAATAAAATCTGAAATAAATCATTCTCTCTACTATTATTCTGACATTTCACATTCTTAAAATAAAGTGGTGATCCTAACTGACCTAAGGAATTGTGAAAACTGAGTTTAAATGTATTTGGCTAAGGTGCATGTAAACTTCCGACTTCAACTGTATGTGTGCAACACAAGTTCAACATTCACCTTCTGCTACCATTTCTGTCAACCCGTTTACGCTTTGAACACATGTTTTGCGTTTTCGATTGTGTTTTTGCGTTTTGGTACACCAGAAGTACATTCATTTCCAATGGAACGCTGCGTTTGCCTTGCAGCATTGCGTTGCAGTGCGTTCTGTGTGGTGCATATGTTGGATTTATCGAACAAATGCGTCAAACTGTATGCGTAAACGGGTTGACAGAAATGGTAGCAGTTGAAATGTTGTTGCACACATATCTAGATGATGCTGCATACTAGCAATGACACAGTTGGTGTGTTCAAAGCGTTACACATACAGTTTGAGGTCAATGAGACTGTCGGATTTGGTTAACAAGAACTGTAATGGCTTATTTGCTTCTTGTGGCTTATTTGATCAAATAGAAGTTTCGTAATGATTAGGTTGTTATGAGTGTACTGATATAAGCAGGACATGTGACACCCCGGTAACTTTGACAAAAACCAATGTATTGGAGTTGTGTCTGGTTGTCACTAGTTACGACAGCCACAAAGTCATAAACCCCGCCCATTTCTACAATTTATCGTCTTACATTTTTTATTTTAAACCCAACGTAAACCTTATACCTAACACTAACCTAAAATTAGGACCAAAAAGCAAATGTTTGTTTTCATGAATTTTTACGATATAGCCAATTAAGACTTTGTGGCTGTGGTGTAGTAACTAGTGGATACCCTTGTGCCCTTTGTTCACACGCGTATCTGCCCTCTCATTGGCTAGAATCGTCCCACCTGATAGTGCCTCCTCCCGACATTTATTTTCATTGTTAGAGCGGACACTACAGTATCTGGTCAAAATAATGTATAATCTATGTCTAGGTTCACAATGCTGCTCATGGAGAGAGACAAAGGAGGGAAGGGTGCATGAAGACAAGACTAAACACAACATCCAACTGGCGCGGGCGCTACTTTTAATAATAACCTCTTCTTAAATTGATAATTACAGACCACATTGACTTAACTATTGCACCGTGTGGTAATCATTTAGTTATAGATCACATCGTTGGAAGAGTTTTACAATGCCCAGTATTACAGCTGAGTCGGCGATCCCGACACTAGCTGTGCATGCATTCGCCTGCATAGGCCTCGAGGACCACGGCAGCCGGACAGAACAACCCGAGACCCCCTTTCATCCACTCCCGGTCTCTCATTTCAATGTACTTGGTGCTGTGCTGGACCTGCAGCCTATACCGCGCCACCAACGAACACCGACGGAAGAGGAGGACGAGGAAAGAGACGATTATGAAGATTTGCTGGAGGAGGATGATTCCAACAACACGCTGCTCGTACAGGCCCAAGTCTCAGGACTAGGCTCGATTATGCTACCTGGAATGGAGACGCCCGAGACACTCTTACTGTACAATGATGAGCTTGATGATGGCACGCTACAACAGCCTACTGGAATGATTATTTTGTCGTCTGAGTACGGAGAACCTGGCTATGAAGTTGAGACATCGCTGCTCATGCGGAGGGAGAGCGTGAATACAACAGAGTGTGTGTTGGTGCCCAGCTCAGAACATGTTGCCGAGATTGTCGGTAGACAGGGTGAGTAGCTAAACTAGTTATCTAGAAAACTAGCTAGTAGTAAAAAACTACATTTAGACAGATGTGTGTTCGATGCTAGCTTGGTTTATCTGGAGGTGTATTGTATGTATGCTGCCAGTTGTGGTCATTGACGTTGTTCAGTGCAATGTAACGTTACTGGGAACAAACTTCTGGCTATAGCTCATGTAGCAAGCTAGCATGAGTTAACTAGGTAACCCTTTAAATCCACACGTACAAGTTGGCGAAGTAAATATATTGATTATATTTCTCTCTAGCCGTGTGATGAGGGCACAATTTGTTTGCAAGTTGGCGAGCTATCTACCTAACTGCATTTAGCTTATTTCATGGCATGCTAATTAGCTAGCTTTGTCCAGCTAGTACCAAAATGATAGCTTACATTTACATTTTTGTCATTTAGCAGACGCTCTTATCCAGAGCGATTTACAGTTAGTGAGTGCATACATATTTTTGTCTTTGTTGACACCATGCCACATCAACTAAGAAGCTAAAGCCGGTGTAGCTATTCATATACCCCGATTTTGGTTTGCTGTCTTTTCACAGATGGGGTAGACTTTAGATCCTCATAACTTTTTGTGTGGACTGGACTGCCACAGAACGTGTGTTTGGCGAATAGTTTTCATGTCTGCCTCTGTAAACGTGGGGGATGGTGGACTTGAACTGTTGTTGTCAAAACGTTGAGGAAAGCGGAAATGACAAGATGGTATAAAGTTGGACTTTCATCTACAGCGAGACATCTCTAGAAACAACTGCTAGCAATGAATTATTATCATTATCATTATCTCTGATTTCACAATACAGTAAGTAATCAAGATTGTAACTAATTATAAGGATACAGATTCAAATCAAATGTTATTTGTCACATGCTTCGTAGACAATGGGTGTAGACTAACAGCAAAATTATTCTCAAACTAATGCCTGAGATTCTCGACTAACATTTGTCTTGTCTGTTTTTTTTTTCTTTCTCAGGTTGCAAGATCAAGGCATTGCGAGCAAAGACCAACACCTACATCAAGACCCCAGTGCGAGGGGAGCAGCCGATGTTTGTGGTGACAGGGCGGAAGGAGGATGTGTCCATGGCAAAGAGGGAGATCCTCTCGGCAGCTGAGCACTTCTCTCTCATCCGAGCCTCCCGGAACAAGGCAGGTCCGTTGGCAGCATCAGGGTCAGGGCTGCCTGGTGCACCTTCCCTACCTGGCCAGACCACCATCCAGGTGCGTGTACCCTACCGCGTGGTGGGACTGGTGGTCGGGCCGAAGGGGTCGACCATCAAGCGCATCCAACAGCAGACACATACTTACATTGTCACACCGAGCCGAGACAAAGAGCCCGTGTTTGAGGTGACGGGCATGCCCGAGAATGTGGACCGAGCGCGAGAGGAGATCGAGACCCACATCGCCATGCGCACGGGCAACTGTGTCGAGATTCCAGGAGACGAGAACGACTTCCACTACAATGGCACCGATGTCAGCTTCGAGGTGGGTGGCTGTGGGGCGTGGCTGCAATCGACCGCCGCTGCACCTGCCGGTGCCCAGCGCACCACCAATTGTAACAACAGCGTGCGCATGACAGCCAACTACCGCAATGACAGCTCCAGCTCTCTAGGCAGCGGCTCCACTGACTCCTACCACGGCGGAGGGGGGAACCGCATGGCCGACTTCAGCCCCACCAGCCCCTTCAACGCCAACAGTAACAACAACAACAATGGTGGAGCCAGCTTCTGGTTTGGGGAGACTCTGCTCCCCCTGGCAGATGAGGAGCTGGCAGCACTGGGATCTCCTGGGTTTGACCCTCTGGCAGTCACTACAGCCGTTCCTGCACCGCAGCCACAGGTGGTGTGGAGCACCTTGGAACAGTGCGTCCAGCTGTTAGATGGCCGCCAGGCCCCTGTCCGAGACAGCCAGCCCGGCACGCCTCGCCTCTCCCCTACCTTCCAAGAAGCCTTGGAACACCCCATGGCCCAGCGGGTCCACAGGGTTCCCTTCAGCGCCTCAGAGTCTCAAAAGTTTCCTGTCTACGGCCCCGCCTTCTCGACCTCCAGTGACAGTACCAGCTCTCCGCCAGACTCGTGCCGCGGACGCCAGGTATGCATCCGCTGCCTGGAGAGTGAGATTATCGCAGCCCTGGTGCCCTGCGGACACAACCTCTTCTGCATAGAATGTGCCAACCGAATCTGCCAGGGCCCAGAGGCTGTCTGCCCTGTGTGTCAGGCACCAGTCACCCAGGCCATACGGCTGCGCAACATGTGAGCCTGCCCTGAGCAATGACTGGGTGAGGTGGGGGATAGTAGCCCGCGAAGTAGCATTAGGATTCCTTTAAATTGTTTTTATTTTGACATGTTAATAATCTTCCTACCTTTTTTTAATCTAATGTATCACATTTTGGGGGATGACTGTTAAAATAGCTGAGGTGGTCAACTGTCTTTGATTCAAGGTTTAAGTTGGCCGTAACATTTTATTAAAAAGGTTTTACCCCTTTTATTTAGCTGCTTTTAAACAATTAAATTCTTGCCCTCGCCTGTCATTAGCAGTGCTTACAGACAGGAAGTACCAAGATGTGCTACTTCAGTACTGCCATGCTTTCCATTGCAACTTAAAAACATTATCTGTTTACAGTAACTCGTGCCTAATTCCACTTAAGTAATCGAAACTTACAACTGGGTTTTGTGGGCACACAGTGTTACCATAGAACTATAGAAAAGGCCTATGGCCTTTTTAGAAAGCATGTATTTTATTGAACACTATAACTTGACCCAGAACTTATGCTTAAGGAGGTCAGACTGACAAAGGACAAGTCATAGATGCATTCAGGTAGTGACCTGATCTTCCAATGGGGTGTGGTCATGTGGTCAACTCATGCTCCTATGTAGGTGGTTGGGCTCCTGACATTCCAGCCATATTATCCAGTATTCTTTGCCCCACATATGGGGAGTTAGACAGACATGTGCATAGAGCAGTCACCTACATTGAACTTAACTAGCTTACATCTTCCGTAATGCATTATTGGACTAACGGCCTCCTCTGACTCTGTGAAACAACCTCTTTATTTGAGCTGCCTTCTCATGTTTTAGGTTTGTCAAATGCCCAAGCACAGAGCCCATCTCCTAGCTTCTCTGCTGACAGATGAGACCTAGTATTCCCCCTGCTGTCATCCTCTCACCCCTTTTCCCATCCGCTATAGTCTGCGTTTGCACAGGCAGCCCAATTCTGATCTTTTTCATCTAATTGGTCTTTTGACCAATCAGAGCAGCTCTTTTGCCAATAATTGGGCAAAAGTTCAGAATTGGGCTGCCTCTGTAAACGCAGCCATAGAGACATGCAGCTCAGATGTGTTGAATTCTATCTAACCACTGGGAAATACATCAGTCCTCAACCTCTCACACACAGTGCATTCGGAAAGTACTCAGACCCCTTGACGTTTTCCACATTCTGCCTTATTCTAAAATTGTTTAAATTGTTTGTTCCCCCTCGTCAATCTACACACAATACCCCATAATGACAAAGCAAAAAGAGGTTTTTAGAAATGTTAGCTAATTTATTAACAATACAAAAAACTGAAATCACATTCACATAAGCATTCAGACCCTTTACTCAGTGCATTGTTGAAGCACCTTTGGCAGCGATTACAGCATCGAGTCTTCTTGGGTATGACGCTACAAGCTTGGCACACCTGTTTCTCCTATTCTTCTCTGCAGATCCTCTCAAGCTCTGTCAGGTTGGATGGGGAGCGTCAATGCACAGCTATTTTCAGGTCTCTCCAGAGATGTTAGATCGGGTTCAAGTCCAGGCTCTGGCTGGGCCACTCAAGGACATTCAGAGACTTGTCCCGAAGCCACTCCTGCGTTGTCCTGGCTGTGTGCTTAGGGTCGTTGTCCTGTTGAAAGGTGAACCTTCGTCCTGAGCGCTCTGGAGCAGGTTTTCATCAAGGATCTCTGTACTTTGCTCCTTTCATCTTTCCCTCAATCCTGACTAGTCTCCCAGTCCCTGCTGCTGAAAAACATCCCCACAGCATGATGCTTCCACCACCATGCTTCACCGTTAAGATGGTGCCAGGTTTTCTCCAGACGTGATGCTTGGCATTCAGACCAAAGAGTTCAGTCTCGGTTTCATCAGACCAGAGAATCTTGTTTCTCATGGTCTGAGAGTCCTTTCGGTGCCTTTCGGCAAACTCCAAGCGGGCTGTCATATGCTTTTAAATGAGGAGTGGCTTCCGGCTGGCCACTCTACCATAAAGGCCTGATTGGTGGTGTGCTGCAGAAATGGTTGTCCTTCTGGAAGGTTCTCCCATCTCCACAGAGGAACTCTGGAGCTCTGCCAGAGTGCCTTGACCAATCCTGTCTCTGAGCTCTACAGACAATTCCTTCGACCTCATGGCTTGGTTTTTGCTCTGACATGCACTGTCAACTGTGGGAACTTATATAGACAGATGTTTGCCTTTCCAAATCATGTCCAATCAATTGAATTTACCACAGGTGGACTCCAATCAAGTTGTAGAAACATCTCAAGGATGATTAATTGAAACAGGATGCACCTGAGCTTAATTTAGAGTCTCACAGCAAAGGGTCTGAATAATTATGTAAATAAGGTATTTGTGTTCTTGTTTTTTTATACATTTGCAAACATTTCTAAAAACCAGTTTTCGCTTTGTCGTTATGGGGTATTGTGTGTAGATTTGATGGGGGGGGGGGGGGGGGGGGTTTAATCCATTTTAGAATAAGGCTGTAACATAACAATGTGGAAAAAGTAAAGGGGTCGGAATACTTTCCGAATGCATTGTGTATGTATGTGTACACACACACAGTACCAGTCAAAAGTTTGGACACACCTACTCATTCAAGGGTTTTTCATTATTTTTACTATTTTCTACATTGTAGAATAATAGTGAAGACAAACTATGAAATAACACATGGAATCATGTAGTAACCAAAAAAGTGTTAAACAAATCAAAATATATTTTATTTTTTAGATTCTTCAAAGTAGCTGCCTTTGCCAGCTTTGCACACTCTTGGCATTCTCTTAACCAGCTTCACCTGGAATGCTTTTCCAACAGTTGATGGATTTCCCACATATGCTGAGCACTTGTTGGCTGCTTTTCCTTCAGTCTGTGGTCCGACTCATCCCAAACCATCTCAATTGGATTGAGGTCGGGTGATTGTGTCAGGTAATCTGATGCAGCACTCCATCACTCTCCTTCTTTGTCAAATAGCCCTTACACAGCCTGAAGGTGTGTTGGGTCATTGTCCTGTTGAAAAACAAATGATAGTCCCACTAAGCACAAACCAGATGGGATGGCTTATCGCTGCAGAATGCTGTGGTAGCCATGCTGGTTAAGTGTGCCTTGAATTCTAAATAAATCACTTAGTGTCACCAGCAAAGCACCATCACCTCCATGCTTCACGGTAGGAACCACACATGCAGAGATAATCCGTTCACCTACTCTGCGTCTCACAAAGACACGGCGGTTGGAACCAAACGTTTCAAATTTGGATTCATCAGACCAAAGGACAGATTTCCACCGGTCTGATGTCCATTGCTCGTGTTTCTTGGCGCAAGCAAGTCTCTTCTTCTTATTGGTGTCCTTTAGTAGTGGTTTCTTTGCAGCAATTTGACCATGAAGGCCTGATTCACAGTCTCCTCTGAACAGTTGATGTAGAGATGTGTCTTACTTGAACTCGGTGGAAATATTTATTTGGGCTGCAATTTCTGAGGCTGGTAACTCTAATGAACTTATTTACATTTACATACATTTTAGTCATTTAGCAGACGCTCTTATCCAGAGCGACTGTTATTTTACATACTGGCCCCCCGTGGGAAGCGAACCCACAACCTTGGCATTGCAAACGCCATGCTCTACCAACTGAGCTACATCCCTGCAGGCCATTCCCTCCCCTACCCTGGACGACGCTGGGCCAATTGTGCGCCGCCCCATGGGTCTCCCGGTCGCGGCCGGCTACGACAGAGCCTGGATTCGAACCAGGATCTCTAGTGGCACAGCTAGACCACTGAAATGCTAGTTCTTGAAATGTTCTGGATTGACTTAAAGTAATGATGGACTGTCGTTTCTCTTCGCTTATTTGAGCTGTTCTTGCCATAATATGGACTTAGCCCTATTTGGTAAAATACCATATTCTGTATTACACCCCCCCCCCCCCCCCCCCCCAATACCTTGTCACAACACAACTGATTGGCTCAAACGCATTAAGAAATAAATAAATTCCACAAATTAACTTTTAACAATGCACACCTGTTAATTGAAATGCATTCCAGGTGACTACCTCGTGAAGCTGTTTGAGAGAATGCCAAGAGTGCAAAGCTGTCACCAAGGCAAAGGGTGGCAACTTTGAAGAATCGAAAAAATAAAATATATTTTGATTTGTTTAACACTTTTTTGATTACTACGTGATTCCATATGTGTTATTTCATAGTTTTGACTTATTCACTATTATTCTACAATGTAGAAAATAGTAAAAATAAAGAAAAACCTTGGAATGAGTAGGTGTGTCAACTTTTGACTGGTACTGTGTGTGTGTTATATATTAAAATGTTTATAAAGAAGATTACATTTTTTTCCTCTAGTATGAGAAGAACTTGGAGGGTGACTTGTGGTGTACTGCAGATCGTCAGTGCTATTTGCTTGTAGTGTAGTTCACCAGTATTGAAATACGATTAGCTGCCATCTTGTAGTTGAGGGAATGTGTACATACGCATGTTTTCATAATGTACCGCATTGTACAATGCAACTTTAAAAGGCCAAGGATCGAATGTGTGCTGCGTCTGTCTGTATAGCACCAAATTAAGAATGGAATAAATGTATCTTAAATATCTCTATACATATATACACTGTACCAACAGTATTTGCTAATTTTACTACATTTATGTATATGTAGGGAAGTCTTATGGCATATAAATTCAACAAATTGAGTCAAGTTTAAAGCAAACTATATTTTATGATAAATGGCCTTTTTAAGTTATGTCCAAAGCACTGATATATATGTGTTTGCTGTAAAGAGAATTAAGAGTTTTATTTTTCTGATATTAAAGTTACTTGATAAAGACTGTTTCATTGAAAGCCCTTTATCTGTCCCATGTTCTTACTGTTTTTGTTTGACAGGGTAAATTTTTCGAACAGTTGGTGAATGTTTATAAGTAACCTAAGTAAATGGTTACATTTAGGGTTAATTATGTTTCAGAAATTCCACAAAATGTGATTTGTGAAAAAGAGCAATGTGATCAGAGCGTTCCGTTAATGT